TGATCATTTTACTTTAAGTAGCACTACATACAAAATGTCGGAAAAATGCCTATTTCCGGAAAATGAAAGGTATTACTGACAAGCAGTTGAGCTATATGTTTCTTTCAACATGGAGAAACTGATCATTATACGAGTAAGACTCACTTCAGTGGATACTTAATGGGAAACTTTAACATTTACAATTAATTTTGTCATTTAATAGTATAACGTTTGAAATTTATTGTTTCAAGTCTGAGGCTTCCATAAAAATTGCTAAAAAAAAGTTCAAGATTATTTTTCTCGAAATCAAAAGAATATTTGGTAGTTTCTACCGACGTAATATCTTCAGGTGCTCTGACTAATTTTTCAGTTTTGAGTTTCTTAGACTACTGGTTAATTTAACTAACGTATAGACGTGTAATGATGTAAGTTAATTTTTGAAAAAAGGTTACATGCCAATTTTGTATGTTCGTATGTCATTTTCTGGACGAAAAAATAAAAACTAATACTAAATTAAATATTTTGTTTCATTAGTAAAATTGTCAACATTGAGCAGAGATGAGGGGGCAGTGCCCGATACCCATGGGTTTTGGTCATGGTGGATAAAACCCCACAAGTTTAGATGTTACGCGCGGTTGCAGAGAGCCTCAAATATCAACATATCGTAACAGAACCGGGTAGTGCATTCGCGGAGGGATGGTTGGGGGAGAATTTCTGATTTCCTTAAAATCTTGCAGCATAGGACCAAAGCTAGAATAAACAGCCGCAGCAACGCGTGGTGCAATGCTTGCGCTCGGAGGCAGATTAATTTCATTTGGGCAGCGTTGCCAGACTGCTCAGTTTAATAATTGATAGATAGTTGAAATTGAAGAGTGAGGAGAACAGTAATACAAGCGGTAACAACTCTTGAGCCTTAAGGTCTTTACAAGTATAGTATGTGGGCGCTAAAGTTCAAAAGTTTTTGGCACTTAGATTTTCAAACCTTCAATTTATGATTTTTAATGGGAAATTGAGAAATTTAGCAACCTCGCATTTGATGCTGCCACGAATACACGGCGGCGCCTCCAGACGATATGTTTTGATCTCGATATCATTGCGGTCTAGCCGGCGCTTCAGGCTAGGCGACATCGATCGGAACGAAGCATTGCTTCGAATCGATTTGTGGGGACATAATATGTATCGTCCATAAAACGATGGAAAGTACAATCTATCAGAGTATCATCCGCCCACAATGGAAACTTAAGAACATTATTTGACGCTCATGATGAGTTCAGGAGTCAAAAATTACGATTTTGTAGTGTCATCTGCAGGTGGGATCTTTTTAGTGGACAGGGTGAAATATAATGGCACTGGTCGTTGATCTTGCCCACCAATGAAGTATAATGGTCATTCCTAAGTAGCTTTCACACGGAACAATCTTCCGATCCTCCGCTCCGGGCCGATAATTAAAATTGATAGACATAGATATAGACAAAGAACTAAGAAGACAAGAGGGGTATGGAGGGACCCCATTGGTGGAAGCGGGTGGTTGCAATGGACAAAGGAGGTATGTAATAGACTAACTAACGGCGACCATGAGGGACCCTATAAGTCCATAATTTTCTTCCTTAGTCTATGGGAACCATCCTTTTAAATCAATAGGATCGCTTCATACTCCGTATGTGCTCTTCGTCTATTGTTTTGTCTATCAATCAGCCCGCCGTGGGATTTGCCATATTTTTTTCCTTATAGACGACCGTGAGAATCACAAATCAACGGTGAAACTGCAAAAATGCGCATCTCGGTTGCAGTGTTTCAAAATCTCCGCTCCCATTTTATTTTTTTAAAAGAAGACCGGGCCAGAGGCGGATCCAGCAATTTGGCAACACCGGATTTCGTCCATTTAAACCTATGCTAAATACTCGATTCTTGTCGGAGGACCTGGCCTCTTCAAGAATCGATACATTTCTATAGGTTTAAAAGGAAAAAGGACAATGTTGCCAATTGGCTGGATCCGCCAATGGACCGGACTAACATCATGGCTTGAAATTTTCATTGAATATTCCCTTATAGCGAAGGAAAATCACAAGTTTTTAAGGAATGACGTTTCCGATGTAAAATATAAAACATGACAGGAAGTTTGCAACGCCGCAAAACGAGATACGCATTTCTGCAATTTTACCATCGACATGGATTTCATCCTTTAGGATTTGAATACGATATGCTAGGCTTGTTAAAACCCAAAGCCGTCTGAAATCATAAGCCCGTGCACAGAGAGACGTTTATGGGGATAAAAAAGTGCAACAATTTAATTTATAGTCTGTCCCAGATACGAAGAGCCCTGGAAAATCAGAGTAATTAGCACTATTTGGCGGGTTGGGGTGCCTCGACCCTCGTCACCTGTCATCTCGTCGCCTCTCACATGCGTCGCACAGAGGGTCGCAAGCCACCTTGAGGCAACGCATACTCCCTTCGCATCTTTCCGCGATGGTTTTCCCCGAGGCCCAGGAGCGGATTCCCGGCGTAAGACGCCGACGCGCCGCAGAGCTCATAACCAACCCTCTGTGCGGTGCGGGGTTGGCTCGGTGATTAGTCGGACACAATAGAACGAACGATACCTTGCTTCTACATCGTGCAAATTATTCCGATTTTCCAGGGCTCTTCGTATCTGGGATAGACTATAGTCATTCCTCTGCTACGGAAGAATGACTATCAACCTGGAGAGGGGGTGAGGGAAATTCATTTGAGCCCGAAAAATAAAAATTCGTTTAAATCGCAGTCAGAAACGTGCTGAAAATAAATTTAACCAGACGTTGTCACACTCGGAGGAAAATCCGCCGGAAGTCCCGCTAGACGGGGCGTAACTCTGCCGTACTGAGAAAGAACGCCGTATGAACACTCCAGAGTTGCCAAACTTCCCCAGATGAAACACCTATTTTTTAAGAACGTCATGCATGTTTTTCCTTGAAATTTTCAGATGTTCTAGACTAAATTGCGAACAAAATTTTTAAAGAATTTGAAGAAAAACATTTAAAATTTTCCCAGAAAATTCCTTTATTCGTTAAAGGAAATATGGCAACTTTTGAAGGCTTATACGATGTTCTTTCTCAGCGCGGCAAACCTTAACGACCGAGTTATTTCTCCCGGTCGCGACAACGTGGAAGCACGGGAGTCGCTCACGTATCCGGGCAGCATGCTGTTGTGCTACGGAAAAACTCCGTATATACATTCGAGAGTTGCCAAATTTCCTCCAATGAAATACACATATCTGAGGAGAGTTATTAGGGTGTCTACCAGTTATAGAAAACCAAAATTGGGGACTTTTAAGGGTGTTTTTTCGAGAAAATCGGGGACTTTTGTCCCGAAATAGTAAGAGAAAGTGAGCTAAATAGAGCTTTAAAATGCGTATCTTATGCGACTAATTTTACAAGTCATGTTGAACCGATGAAAACATATGAAAAACCAGGCAATACTACAGTTTTTTTTATTCCTGGTCATACCGCGCCGCTGCGCGCCGCGGCTGGTGGGGATATTTGAAAATGCCGGTGTTTAGGACGATTTTTGTCATTTTTTGGGAACCTGAACAAGAAAATTGGGGACTTTCGGGGATATCGGGGACACCCTTTCAAAATCGGGGATAATCGGGGACATTGCTGACTTTCGGGGACCGGTAGACACACTGGGAAAAAAACACATTGGATCTAGAGTTCAGACTCTTGAGAACATTAACAAGAAAAAAAACTCTTGATTCAATCAGATTTAAGCTTAAATCAAAAGGAAATCCGCTCAAATTAAGAGGCTTGGTTCTTGATTTAAGCTTAAATCTGATTGAATCCGCAGAGTATTTTTTCTTGTCGATGTTTTTAAGAGTCTGGACTCTAGATCCGATGTGTTTTTTTTTTTTCCAGTGCACCCTAGTTATGAATATTTTCTCTTGAAAATCTCAGACAATTTAGATTTAATTACGAAGAAAATTCTCCAAAAAATTGTACGGAAAATTTTCACGAGTTTTTCTTAAGATTCGTTTTGAATCAAAGAAAATGTGGCAACGGACGAAGGTTCATACGGCCTTTTTCCTCAACGCGGCGGCATGTGCCTCATCTCACCTCGCCCGACGCGACTGCGACGCGACGAAGCCGGAAGTACGAAGCGACGGGGAATAGGTACAAAGGTCATAAAAATGCAAAATTTAAAGTTTGATGACCCGCTCCCCAATTCGAGACGCCGCGCGCTGCGCCGTGTTCATCTGGAGCCAAGCCCGTTTAAACGTGGGAAGAGTCGTTGCCGGCCGGGTAGAATCTCACTGCACCCAGGAGGAAAAATCCTCGCTTACCTGGGCTAATTGGATGGTTTTAATCAAAAGCAGGCCAACCACAAGCGGCGTTGCAAAATTTCTTTAAATTGAAAATGTTTTATTCTATCAAGCTTGACTATGATCAACAATGGAAAAAAACAAATTTGATCTTGAGTCCATACTCTTGAAAACATTGACAAGAAAACGGAATCTTGATTCAATCAGATTTAAGCTTAAATCAAAAGGAAATCCGTTCAAATTAAGAGGCTTGGTTCTTGGTTTAAGCTTAAATCGGATTGAATCAAGAGTATTTTTTCTTGTCGATGTTTTTAAGAGTCTGGACTCTAGATCCAATGTGTTTTTTTCTTCCAGTGATGAAAAACTTAGCTAGAAAATTAACCAAACTCTTATATCCAGGTACGATTCACCTAAAAATGTTAATGGATTATTTTCATCTTGTTAAAATAAGCCCACGACCTATCGATATCTTCAGCGCTTTTGAATGATAATGTATTTTTATCAGGAAATTCATGGAGCATTTTTAAGCTTATTATTAGGAGTGAATTTGCGCCAAGTACATTTTACAACACGGAACCATTATAAATATCTCATTTTAAAAAATCAACTCTTTGCATAGAAAAACTAATTGCTCACGTGAATTTTTTTTGCAAAACTTGATTTTATGAGAATTCAGATTTATGATCCTTTGACTGGCTGTAAATGAATTTTGATAAACGTCAGAACTCACCATTTGAGTTGCTGTCTTTGGTTTCCTGTTGATGTTTGGGACCTTATGGCTGGCTGTAAAAACAAACACAAAAAAAATGCACGTAAGTAAAGGTTATAAGATATTATTGACATTGTTTCTTATTAAGAAATTGGCAATGAGACGAATGAGACAGCATGATGATGACTAATAAAAATTATTCACACCTTCAATTGATTGTTTATGTTACCATATCCGGTGGCGAAGCAGCGCTTCCTCCTTAACGGGACAAACTACGTGATCGGCACGCTTCTCGTCATTCGCTTTGCATGTCATTTGATGACAGGTACGAATTGGCGACAAAAGAAAATTATTCGAGGACCCAATCTGCAGCAAGAGAAGGATGCCAAACTTGGATTTAAGTTCGCAAGGATCTCCAGGCTTCGAGGTAAAATAAAAAAACGGAACAATACAAACATTTTAATATTTTCCCCTGATATCACAGAATAGTTTGTGCGATGTAAACAAGAGAGCAGACTTGTTTCATTTAAATGTAATTTATGCATAAATTAAATTCTTCGTTTCGACTTTTTAATTGCATCAATATATACTTTTGGCCAGGGCGAGGTTATCGGCATGCAACTTCATCACTTCATTGAATGATAAACGAAAATAATCAGCCCGCATATGATAAAATGAAAAAATAAATTCGTAAGCACAACGACGAAAACACCCACTCAAGCGAAAACGAGCGACAATTTTTTACTTACAGTGTACCGTATCGACGGTGTAAGTTGGCAATCACATAACTCGGTTTGCGACGCCGCAGACTTCCTGTCATACTTTACTTCTTAAACAGAAAACTACTCAACAGCAATTCTTCAAAACTGCCTTGATTTTTCTTCTGTGTGCGAAGGAAAGAGGGTTATTCAAAATCGGCGATTTTACCCAACGCTTGGATTTTGCCCGGAGTTGGATATGTTGTTCCCTATCACAAGACACGCCTTTTTCCGGCATTGGCAAGTTCACCCGAAATTTTTCCCGCGCGCTACAGCGTTGCCAAGTTGAAAACAGGCACATTCCGTAAGTGGCATTAAAATTGAGCTATGAAGTTGCGGTTTTAACGAAAATTCTCTAAAAATTACGCACTTTTAGGATATGACCATGTTTTTAATGTCGCATTAATTTTAACATGCATTATTGCCAAATTTCCGATTTTTAAATTCGACAAATGCTACATATTCGCAAATACCCAAAAAAGCTATCTTCAAATTTGAATAAAAAGTTGTCTAATCGATAGTTCGTTCAATTTCGCATCCATCGATATATTATAGCTCGCTGGGAAACTTTTGGTTCGCGAGATATCATCATTTTTGTGAACAGCTTTATGGAGCGACGACGCTTTTTGAGTCCGGGCGGATAGAAATTTTAGCCTCCAAAAACACCGGGTAGCATTAATTCCATGGTTTCCTATGTAATTTTTGGCGCTGAATCCGAATTTGACCATTTCATAAAAAAATTGTCACCAAGATGTTGCCAAATTTGGCAAAAATTGCTTAAAATCGGCCTTTTTGGCGGATTGTAGCCTGTGACTTGCCAGGAGTTGATCAGACGACAAAATTGGTTATTTCCACAGTTAAAACTCGTTAAACTATCTACAAGCTGAGTCAAATTCTTTCTGCTCACGGTAAAATTAAACGCGCGACAAGCAGCAAACTGAAAAAAAGACACCAAAATTGGCGCTTTTTGCGGTTTTTGTCGTAAGTTTCTTGTTTTCCGATTAAGAGAAAATTAGGAAAAATCCTAATTACGCCGAGTGTAACGACAAACTATTGTATTGTTACATATATAGATAAAGAGCCGCTTTAACAGCGGTCTCTCGGGCCCCGCGACGCCTAACCGCCATAGTCCCTTGTCCACCCACAGGTCCTCAGTAATTTAGAGCGCCCTTGTTCCTTTTTAAGCCCCTTATTGTCCTTTCCTGGGCGTCTTCTTCAGTTTGGTGTCGTTACTTTTTTCTATTAAACTCCATTATCTCAGAATTATAAAATAAAATTGTATTCTAAATATAGGGTAATGAATAATAACGGTCAAATACCGCCAAAATTCAACGATTTGTACGTAATTTTGGCAATATTGCAATGCGTCTTGTCTTGTTTTAATGAAGTCTGTCTGAGGAGTACATTTTATTCATTAATTTTTAACAGAAAATTTTCCATTATTGTTTCAAAATGTGGTTTATTGACACGATTCGATAAAACTCACTATTTTATGAATTTTTCCTCTCTGAACTAAATACCCTAGTTATTAGTATATATCTAAGTTGAAAATTAAATTATTCTACAGAAGTGTATTATTTTGCAAGAGAGATACATTTATAAAATTTAAAAATAAGAGGTGAACAAAGAATATAGGACAATAATATCGAAAAAACCAGCGAAAATTAAAGTATTTTGTTTAAGCTTGGCAACATTGGAATATGTTCGATCTTATTTTATTGTTCAATTTTATTAAATTCTGCTCATGTTGTTCATTAGTATAGTCAAGAAACATTCTCTTAATCGGAAAACAAGAAACTTACGACAAAAACCGCAAAAAGCGCCAATTTTGGTGTCTTTTTTTCAGTTTGCTGCTTGTCGCGCGTTTAATTTTACCGTGAGCAGAAAGAATTTGACTCAGCTTGTAGATAGTTTAACGAGTTTTAACTGTGGAAATAACCAATTTTGTCGTCTGATCAACTCCTGGCAAGTCACAGGCTACAATCCGCCAAAAAGGCCGATTTTAAGCAATTTTTGCCAAATTTGGCAACATCTTGGTGACAATTTTTTTATGAAATGGTCAAATTCGGATTCAGCGCCAAAAATTACATAGGAAACCATGGAATTAATGCTACCCGGTGTTTTTGGAGGCTAAAATTTCTATCCGCCCGGACTCAAAAAGCGTCGTCGCTCCATAAAGCTGTTCACAAAAATGATGATATCTCGCGAACCAAAAGTTTCCCAGCGAGCTATAATATATCGATGGATGCGAAATTGAACGAACTATCGATTAGACAACTTTTTATTCAAATTTGAAGATAGCTTTTTTGGGTATTTGCGAATATGTAGCATTTGTCGAATTTAAAAATCGGAAATTTGGCAATAATGCATGTTAAAATTAATGCGACATTAAAAACATGGTCATATCCTAAAAGTGCGTAATTTTTAGAGAATTTTCGTTAAAACCGCAACTTCATAGCTCAATTTTAATGCCACTTACGGAATGTGCCTGTTTTCAACTTGGCAACGCTGTAGCGCGCGGGAAAAATTTCGGGTGAACTTGCCAATGCCGGAAAAAGGCGTGTCTTGTGATAGGGAACAACATATCCAACTCCGGGCAAAATCCAAGCGTTGGGTAAAATCGCCGATTTTGAATAACCCTCTTTTGCAAAAACTTCGAGGAATGAAGTCAATTTGTTCTCCTTTAAAAAAATAGCACAGAGGCGGAGATTTTCAGACACCGCAAACGAGATATGCATGTGATTAAGGACTTACGCCGTCGTCGATATAGCTCTTCGCAAATCGAAGCTCTTTCACTGAAAAAGACTTCGGCCGTGGAAGCCGTGCTTACGGGCTATATGGACATACCGTCCGCGTTCCGGGCGCAGAGGCCGTTTCCGGGCGCATGCAGTAACCGGTGCAATCTAAGCTACAGCTCACGCGCCCGGAACTTTCAGCCTCTGAGCCCGGAACGGACGGTATGTCTATGCAGCCCGTAACTTTTTACTTTCTCGCTCCCTAGGGTAGAGGAAGTATTGTTATCGTCCAAGGGAAGGGGGGGTTGGGAGTTGAAATTTCATCATTTCTAGACGTTTTAAGCTCCCTGGAGTCAAAATAACTATACTTGAAAAAATGTGTGTCCGTCGGTCAGGCGTCCCCCAAATCTGTGTACAGCCATATCTCAAAATCTATCCGTTCAATTTTTTTTTCAGTGTCGTAAAAGTGGTAAATCCAGGTACGTGCTTTCTTCTACTTTCACAATCGATACATTCATCGGTGCATTCATAAATTACTATTACATGCTTTACGTTTCCGTCGGTTTTTTCTTAAAATTATGACCACCCTCGTTGAGCGATCGCTAATTTCGGTCGCTCGGCAAGTGGGACGTGCAAGCGCGCATTCCGCGCGTTCCACCCCCTCCGTCCGAGGCGAGGGTAGCGCCCCGATCCCCGACTTCCTCCCTTGATAAAATGATATCATTATCCAGTTCCTTAAAGTTCCACCGTGAAATATGGACTCTTAAGTCTATAGAAGTGTCAGTGAACTGACTCCACGTGCTTTACGACAACGCTCCCGCGCGGCTGCCGCATTTTTTAGGAATTGCACCTCGGAAAAAAATTAATGAAAAAACCACCACATTAAAAAGGCGCATTTCTTTAAAGCATGCTATCTACATTGAAAGATTCAAGAGAGAACCTACGTATGTAGGGAATCTATATTTGACTTTAGGATTGGTGTTTCGGGACTGGTTCGGGCACAATTGGACTACATTTTGCGATTCGGAACTCGAATTTCAAGTTCATCAGTAAAAACACTTGTGTGCTTATAAGGAAACTAATCGTACATACGTTGTTCGTCCTATACTGTGTCAGAAATTGCAGTTCCTAATTGCGAAGGTCCAATTTGTCGTAGCAGACAATTGCAGGACCACAGTTTTACTGACATTACTTCCCATGAGCACATAGATGTTTTTACAGATGAGCCAGATATTGTAGTTACTATTGGAAAAATGTAGTTCAATTTGTGCTCCAGCACGGATTACTATTAACGAAGGACGAAGCTGTATAAAATCATGATTCATCCTCGGAGAGATAAAGGGTTTTCCTCAAGTTCTCATGTATTGAGATTTGTATAGTTGGATCTACTCTAATTAAGATTTAGGTAAATTTTGCAAATAAGACGGAACTTAGAGCGATTTTCGAGACTGCTTCTCAATTGTATCCCGCGGTGCCACGTTTTTTGCACTCTACGATTTTGCATTTCCTACCTACTTGAGATTTGATAGCTTTAAGAAACCCTACACTATTGGACTTATGTCCTCGTTTAAAACTCCAGATGCAGTACTTCAATGTTCAGATCCACCCAATTGCTTATCCTTGTCTTGCATACATCACATGATTGAATATTACGATACAGGATTCTCTACGCCAAAAAAATTCATGATGGTGATTTTGGACGTTAGATAAACATGAAGTTATGATGTTGTTATGACTAGGTTGTGACGTGAAGCAAAATGAATTGATTTCCAAACATCAGATTTACCTATTATACTGAATTTCTTATCGTAATTCTTGGGTGGTTTCAAAAATTCAATTTAATTTCTTTATCTCTCATGTGCAACAGACCCATTCTATTTTGTAGTGCGTTTAATTTATAAAATAGTGAGTAGAATGCAAAGGGTATATATATTTATTGGACTGGAAATACCCTAAACCAGGATGGCAACAGAACGTCTGGCCATCTCCCGACACGTAGAACGGAAGTTCGGCTCTAAATATCCCCTCGAGAAGGCCTGCACGATTATAAATTACCTGACAAAATTGCTGCCAAGCTGGTTGTGCCAATATATTTTACAGGTATCCCTTCTGTTCACTGTTTGTACGATGGGATAAGGAATACACCAATAAAGCATTTCGTAGGAATTGTGTCCATTAAATTTCCGACGGTCGATCCCTTTTTATTCCACTGAAAAATGAATTATTCCTCAGATAACGCTATATTCTAGACCGCTGTGCCCCGCCGCGCATTAGATCGAGTCAACGGGAGAATTTGGACAAAATTTGGAAATTTTAAAAGCGTATAACTCCCTTCAATCAAAACTTTGTGATTTTAAAAATGGTTCCATTGGTTTCCTCGTGAAATGTTCTGCTAGGAGCTCTCCTCAAAATTTAAAATATGACGAAATAAACATCAATATTTGCAGTTTTAGTCAGAAATTTCAAGTCCGGTCTCTCAGATCGACTCGATCCACTGTGCTCCGGTTGGAGCTTTTCAGGCCATCCAAACCTAATGCAAACAGGAACGAAAGCTAATCGCAACTTACAGTCCGGCACGTTTGGTAATGGGTTTAGTCGTTGGAGGTAGAAAAAATACCTAATTCGACGGTTTACGACGTTGCGAATGTGCATTATGTTTTACTTCAACGGCAGGAAATCAACGATATGCTTAATGCATGCAACTTTGCATCAATTTTCTTAAACTATCTATAAAAAATGTGTCAACAAATTTTATGTAGAGCTATTTGTTGGTAAAACAAGACTAAGATTACAAAAAAAACCGAGTTGAAAAGAGTAGGCAGGAACATGCATATGCATTGTGAAACAATTTAAATGAGATAAACGCGTTTTTTTCTAGATTTGTCAACAAAATGAAGATAGATTGCATATCGATGGTGAAAAACTACCAAACCATGGATCTCAATGGTTGGTTGGTGAATGATGGTGTTTGAAAACGTTTGCTCATACTATCATGAAATTATTCCGGCTCGACTTCTATGCGCGAAATTTTTAGCAAATATTGTAAAAGAACGTAAAAAAGTCAAACACCATCAATCGGAACGCCAACCGGAGGGAAAAGGTTTCCCTTTACTTAAAAGCACAATTTTTAAAGATATTTGAAAAAAAAACAGGTGCTTAAATAAATGTTACCCCGATCACTCGGAATCAGGAAAGAATGATTAAAATTATTTGCAAAGAACAATAAAAACAAGATACTTACTGACTGCCTCGATGACATCAGCTAATAAAACCCCATCTGTGAGATCGGCCTGGAGGTCTTGTATTAATTTTTTGCTTCGTGCTTTTTCCAAATAATGGTTCACCCATTTTGAGTAAGTCTGGAACAAAAATAAACCAGAAATTTAAAGATTCGGTCACGAATTTTGAAATTACAACAAAATAATGAGTAAATACATTAAATGGACGTATTTCAATAGGGAACTATGTGCATTATGACGTGAACCCTGTAATGCATATATTCTTATGAATCTCACGGCTCTTGTCTTAATGCACACAGTTCCGTTTGGTAGAAACACGTCCAAATATAAAAGTAGGAGGTATAAAAATATCGTGGGTGGAAGGAGTCATGAGAGTATTAACTACGGCACACTTGAACAGATGCGAGCTGAGTTCTTGCGAAAAAAAAAGACACAGATTAATTGCAAAAGTCGAGCCGCCTCCAGTAGTGGATCATTAAAAAGCGAAAGAAAGCGAGAGTTAAAAGACGGTGTATCTGGAGGGTTTGCTTTATTGATTTTAATTACATCCAATTTATTAACAGTTGCCAGAGAGGCAAGGAGAGCGAACGACTCTCGAGAGATGGGATTCGCGAAAAGAGCCGTCTGCCTTTTCCAGGAGTTTAGAACTAAGAATAATTAATGAATAAAATAAATTATAACTAAACGCTAAAGCTTCCCCATAATAGTACCCAAAGTGGCGCGAAGGATGAGGAAGCCGGCAAGGAAGCAATTTATCGAGTTAAAGACTTATATGTTTTCGCACGCATGTACGTATACAGGGTATTTTTTACTTCTTTAAAAAAAGGAAAATAAAATATATGTATGCAAAATTCTCAGAATATTTTCATAGATAGATATTTGAAAGATATATTTTATTCTTCATTGTGTTATATTAGGGATATAATCAATTTGATAGAATTTTCACTGCACTTGTCGGATAGCTTGACAAAGAGTTCCGATCAATAATGTGTGTGTATTGAAGATGTTTGTTTGTTTTTTTTTTTTTTGTTTTTTTTTTTTTCATTCTGTTTTTATCTTTTTTTATAAAACATAAGGATATCTTAATCTCTTAAAAATTTTACTGTTTTTAGAGATATTCTAAAAAAAAAAAACATTCTTTATGCGTTGCTGTGCTATTAGGGAATGTAATACATTGCACAGGTATGATAGTATTTTACGTTTCTCGAATGGCTTTAAAAATAGTTGATTTCCAATTTTGACTTAAAATGCAGCCGAAGTCGAAAAGTACGTGTTGAAACATTATAAATTTTCACCCTTTTTTTTTTTTTTTTTTTTTTTTTTTTTAACAGAGAAGTAATCAAAAGTTTTCTTGGAAGTTATATGTAAATTTTCTCCATTTGCATTCAAAAGCAATGACAAAAAAATTTCAAAGTATTTCTACATTTCCCTCCTATCTTCTAGAAATTACAAACATGCTTAGAGATTTTGAAACGTCGCAACAAAGGAACTCATTTTTCGATCTTAGCCATAGAGATGTAATATTCAGACGAGGCAAGATACATTAAATTGAGATTTCCAGCAATGAGAAAAGCTAAAATTGAATCACTCTGTGCATTATTCACCCCATAACGAGCGAAATTGACGCGCGGCGAATTGCGAGTAAAGGTTTATTACAAGCGCGAGCAGGCGGGCGGAAAAAAGGATTACGCGAAAGGTGAGCGGCCGGCTCTCCGAAGCGGAATCCGAAAAATACAGGAGCGTGAAACCGAAATACTCAAAGTTGTACATTAGTTTTCCCAAGTCGGCAACTTTAAAGATCAGGTATTTTTTATTGCGAGACACGCTTTACGCGAACGAACTGAATATGATTATTTTCGGCTCGCACCGCCTTACTCGCTCTCACCTTCCGAAGGTAATTCGTTCCCCCGTCGAAAGAACGTAACTCCATTCCCAGGTTGCAAAATTGCCCCAAAAAACAAAATTTTCTACGATAGTACAACTGTGTGATCTCTATTTAAACCTCAACTGATTTCAGATTATAATCGGAGGAACATTCGGATAAATTTTCAATTGGGAACGCCTGATAATTTCGCGGTAAAAACATCATTTTGCAAAGGGAAATTTGGCAATGTTGGACTGCAGTTACGTTCTTTTGTCTGGGAAACGGCTGTTCCTTCCCTCTGCACCTTTCCCCGCCCACCCCTCATCATGTCACCATTCGCTACGGTAAGGTAATCTGCTTGCGACGGAAAATTTACAACGTAACTTTTCCGCGCTCGTGGAACGCGTCTTAAAAGTTTCACAATTTATTCAGGAGACCTTTCAGTTAAACGACTTTTTCTATTCGTCGCGCTCACTGTGTAGCGCGAAAAAGAGCTTTCGTTGAAAAGGAAAGTTCAAGTTCTTTATCTCGAAGGCGATGAAAGTTCAAGGTGGCTGATTGCTCCGGCGAAGGGACTTTCGAAAGGTTGAAATCGTTCGACGCATCACTGACTGCAACCGCTTACAAGACGGCCCTAGTCGATGATATTTGGTTTTATGCTTGTTAAAAACTGAACTTCTGAAGAAGGATCTGGAAGTTTCAGGTTCAACTAAGGTTTTCAGACTTAATAATGATGTTTTATGAACTTGATTTAATTTTTCCTTGAATGTTAATCTTTTTGCAAAAAAAGATTCTTGAAAATGTCTATTGATCGTTCATTATCATGAGATGAAAATTCACGAAAACTTAAAGATGACAGATACTGTAGCTGACGTTTATGAAAATGTCGGTCAATGTTTGGGTGCGTTACATTAACGAAGTATGATAAAAAAAATGGGCATAACCAAAAAAGCTTGACGGTGTCTTGCGTTATCACTTCACTGCACCGGTCCGAAAAAGTAGATAGGTGACACGGATGAACACGCAACTAAACACACTCCTGCGTAGGCTAGAAAGTATAACCTTCGAATTGAAGGCGTTTTAAACTCCCGAAGTACTCGTTCGCTCCGGCCGGCCGGTATCTGACGCTCGCTCCCTCCCGCTTGGGCTCCGTAGTTTCTAATGCATGTGATCTTGTTTTTCTTCCAACGTTGGTGGGAGGCGACATAAAATTTGAGACAAACTATAATAATTTTCCCCGTGACACGTTTGAAAGAGATAAGCGTTTTTAAACCAGTAAAGCTTTTAATAAGGACTTGATCAGGGTTTAGGGAGGAAGAGCTTCAAAAGAGGAAGCTTTTGAAAAGCGATTCCAAGTTAATGAGAACAAAACTAGGAACTGTTTTCGTTTCATGTTCTTTTCTTGGCGGAAATCATAGTTCTATTTAGCCTTTCGAAATCACCTCACAAGAAAGTGGTAAATGCTTTTCTTAGAGAGCAGTCAGGGTTCATATAAGGAATAATTTTAGAAAAATTAATTCATTAATCAAATAGGAAAGAAATCTCTGTAAACATGTGTAACATAGAATATTATTTTAAACGGATTTCAGCTCCTGAACAAACATTTATCTTAAAATGTTTAACATGCCATCAAACACAGAACTTTTAAAATTGTAACATTTAAATATATGATGAACGTTGGAAGAGGAAGGGACAAGGAGAGCTCGTTGATTTGATGAGTCATTTTTTCCGAAATATTGAAAGCTCGTGAGTTTTTCGTTTAAAATTTACAAATCTGCCGAGACATTTGATAAAATGCCTGATTTGACTAGTTGCCTGCGAAAGATACACTTTTATTCGCAGCAAAGCGATGCAAAAACCACCACCACCACTTACACTAGAAAAAAAACACATTGGATCTAGAGTCCAGACTCTTGAAAACATTGACAAGAAAAAATACTCTTGATTCAATCAGATTTTTGCTTAAATCAAAAGGAAATCCGCTTAAATTAAGAGGCTTGGTTCTTGATTTAAGCAAAAATCCGATCGAATCAAGAGTATTTTTTCTTGTCGATGTTTTTAAGAGTCTGTACTCTAGATCCAATGTGTTTTTTTCCAGTGTAGGTCACCGCCGGACCATTTTACACCGGCAAAAAATGGGCTTGACCTCAGATTGACAGTATTCCACAAAATGTCCGACGAAAAACCTCGGTGACATTCTTCGTCGGAAGCCGTGGAAAATATCCTTTAACAACAGAATTCTTTTCCCTCCATTTCGGCGACAGCTCTCAACGTCAGTCGAGGGAAGTGCACACGTGTCCCGGTGCAATCGATGCGCCGTCTTCACAAAAGCCACAAGCTCGGTTCCGAGGTGTTTCGCGACAGGTTGAAAGCGCGTCTCCCTGGGCTCCTTTCACGACGTTTCCGGACGGAAGTCGGGTGCCGAAGACGCCGCCGCACACTGGATCAAGTCGATAGGAGAAGTCGGACAAAATTTGGAAACTTTAAACGCTTATAACTCCATTTATACAAGACTTCGAGGTTCTAAAAGTGGTTCCATTGGTTTCCTTGTCACATTTTCTCTTTAAAGCACCCCATATAATATAAAATATGACGAAATAAACATAAAAATTTGCATTTTAAGTAAAAAATTTAATGTCCGACATCTCTAATTGACTCGATCCACTGTGCGCCGTCTCGGTCAGGATTGACACCGCGGAAGCGGGGGTGTGGAGGGGGGGCGAGCTTTGGGAGGAAACGGGGGGCGGGGGATCTTGATTACAGTCTCATGCGGCTGAGTCTTGTTTGTTCGAACTTAGAGTAAACGGACCCCCCCCCCTTTTTCCCCACCGCCACTTCACCGGGGATTTTATTTGAAAACAACCCTCCGATTTATCCGAAGCACACCTGTCCTACACGTTTTATTCCCTCCTCCGAGCTTTCGGAAAGTTCCGACGGGCGCTCTTGGCTCGGCTCCAAACGATCACGGATTTGAGCTGGCTTTTTTTACTGCTCTTAAAATTCATGCGACATACTCCTTGAGCAAATGTTGGGTTGTGCTTACGTCATTACTAGCGCCTCCCTTTTTTCCCGCACGCGTGAGGTTGGGCCTGAGTGTATCAATTTGTTCGCGACACTGATTTGAGTCCGATTCGGTGTATCTCAACACTGTTCGGTGTTTGAGTAATATGATTCCAGCACCTGGATTGTTGAATCGCTATCCAACGATTTTCATCTATAAATAACACTGCTAAGATAGATAGGGATGTACCGACCA